TTGTAAGTCCACAAATAGGGACTTACAATACCTAAATTGTTATGTAATATTGTAAGTCCATAAATTTGATTATTCATAAACATAGAGTCTAAAAGTTATTAGCATTAATCTCGTACTTTAATTTTAATATAGATTCATGACTTTCATTGACAAATATAATTTAGTTTAAGAAAAAAACAAAAAAATACCTTCTCCTGTAAAATTTGCGTTTTGCGACTTACAATAGTTCTGCATTGAGGCGACGAATTGCATTTTTGATTAGATTGGGTATGGTGAAGGCTGCAAAACTTTGTGCGGAGCACCAAACGCTCTCTTTGCCTTTTGTAGTCGTTACTGGACATCTTGTGCTGTCCCCCCGGTACAGTTAACGATGCTGCCTAGATTTTCGGACGCGTCGAGTTTTCTGTTGCTACATTGTAGCGGATTAAAAGATATTCGTTGGAGATATTCATCCGCATTTTGTTGAAGTTTTTTACATTGACCTTTAATACTACTTTGGCCGTCTCTTTCCAACTTTGCTTCCTTGTATATTTCATGAGACACTTAGCAGATGTTGTCGGTATAGTCAAATTCTTCGAGTTTCCCCATCAGTCCCCATCTGATACTTTCCGGCCCATTACATACTTTTTATTGCCCGACTGCATAAGAAGGAGGGATACATTTTTGATGCGTGGGTATGTATGTATCCAATAATTTATTTTACGGGCTTGGATTTTCAGTTCGACTAGCAGTGCTAGTGATACTGGCTGTATTGAAATTTTTTAAAAATAAAATGGAGGATTTGAAAAAACAACCTTGACATTCATATTATACAGCCTACAGCTGAAACGGCTTGATGGATTTTGCCATGTTCGATCCCGCTCAGGTGTTGTTTGATCCGCCTCAGCAGTGCGAGTGACAATGGCTATATTAAAAAATATTAAAACGAAATGGTTGACTTTAATAAAAGTTCAATTTCTTATTTCACGGACTTCAGCTTAGACGGCTTGATGAAATTTAACATATGAAGTGTCTCTGGATTTGTCTTGCCAGTGCGAGTGACACTGGCTATACTAAAATTTTCTGAAAACAAATTGGGAATTATAATAAAAAAATCAACCTTGAAATTCCTGTTTCACGGGTTACACTTTAAACTACTTGATAGATTTTGACATATGAGGTGCCTCTATGTTTCTAGTAGGGTTTTTTATAATATTTAAAGATGTACTAGTCTCATTTCACAGTCTGGTACTATGTTGAACAACATTGGGGAGGGGATACATCCCTGCCTTGCCACGTTGCCAGTTACTTTTTCCTCCATTTTTAAAAGCGCTTGGGCTGCCTATATGCTAAAAATGGAAAGAGACATGTTACCTATAAGGGTTTTTTATTGACTTGATTTTTGAATCGGCGTTAGGTATGCGAAGGTTCTTGTATCAAGTCCGAGAACATAAACGAGACCCCCGTATCTACACGCACTAGTACGAACATTACTTGGATGAATTTCCGGCACACTATCAGACGAAAAAGATGAAAGCGCCTTATTACGACCATTATCTTTTATTTAATGTCGTTGTGAAGACAAAGAACGAGCGTTATTTCGAGAGAATGGCGTTGAGGGAATAACAGTAGACGAAGGGTAAAAAAGTGCGTACACTTAATTGGTGGATTCTCCATTATGTTCCTTTTGTACAAGGGAAAAATTGCCCTGCCCACAAAACAGTTTATTTGTTTTTTGTCTGTTATCTTAACATGACGGATTAGGGGTGGCACCAAAGCAGGATTAAAGTTGTTGTTTACGTTGTCTTATATACTTTATTTTTTAATCTGAACGTTCTTAGGAAATGTCTTCACTTTCGCGTTTTATGTAGTAATTTTATATTTTCTCATTTTAATGATCCGGAATTCTGTTGTGGAAGTTTGATGGAGACGATTTTTCGTGTTTTTCAGCTTCCAAAATCACGACTTAAACTAAAATGTTCGTACTCTGTACCGCTAATAAATATTTACTCTCGTTTCTGTGCTTTTTTCAATTTGACACTGTTGGTTACCAAGAACTGAGCGATTCACATTGCAACACAGATGGTATATCGGCCATGTCACTTTGGTAGGCATTGGTAAGCAAATCTACTCAAGAGTATGCACTTCACTAAGGAATTTTGGCGACAACATTGCCGTGTAAACATATCTATGTATAGGGTTGGCTATACGTACACAAAGAGTCCGTCAAATTTGACGATGCGTTGTTTTTGTCCAACAATGAATACCCAAATGATATGGTTATATTAAATTATGCTTGGAGTACAACTTTTTTTTCAATTTCAAGACGCGGTTGCGAGCATCTATGGCAGAAGATCGTCTAACTGGACTGGCAATTTTTTATGTCCATAAAGATGTACATGTCGATATGGAAGAAGTCATAAATCTATTCGCAAGACGACAAAAACGAATTAATTTTGTTACTTAACAATAAAAAAAATACTTTTTTAATTAGATTGATTGTTTAAATCATATTAGGCAACACTGTATGAGTACACGGGTAGAGGCACTGTCACCTTCGCCCCCCCCCCCCTTTCCGACAACACGAATACCTTCCTGAACATGAATCTATGACCCTCTCCTAACACAAATGCTGAATCCGCCCTTGACTGCAATAGAGACTCAATAAGATTGGTGCGGAGAAGAATACCAAAGTTTCACCTAATTCGACCACGAGTCATTTGCCTTAAAGAATGTGCTTGCTCTCTGTGGGGGTGCTAATGCCTACCCCAGACGGTCCTGGACTATGCTGGTTTTGCGTGGTGCCATCTTATAATTTGGAACGACGGCTTCGCGAAATTTCAGCATGTTACACTACCTTTCCTGAGTATTGTAATAACACACGGTATATGAATATAATAAGGAAACAAACGGAGTGTCAGGAAGATGGCAGATAGAACATATTGTGAAAAAGTGTCAATTGTGCTGAACAAGGTCGCTATTGGTACCGAAACGTATACAATAAAGAAGAATCTTAAACACATGTAGTTTAAAAAATAAAAACTTATAGTTCTAGATTTCTCGGTATAAAATCAATGTGGCTTTGGTATCACATTTCCCCAAGCCCTTCATTTCATAGCCGTGCTAGAGCATCATCTTCAAACCAAACTGCATAAACATAAATCTGAAAGCTGGCCTGCCTCTAAGTGAATCGGATGTGGATAAATAGCTTATTAAAATAACCATTACATTCGGATAGAAGCGGGTACAGGAAAAAGGCAGTTATTGCAGAAAACGGGTCGGCTGTTCTATTAAAATCCGTGCATCTATCACCGTAAGATGGGATTTAGTCGGTAAGGCAGGTATCCATTACCCTCTAAGTGCATCTATATCTCCATCTTACTTTTATCACCGTGAGGTGGTATCACTCTGTCTAGATCTCACCACCTGACTATATGATACAGTCAAATCGGAGTCGTTCGGCCATATAACACGATGTAAAATGAGAGGATACATTCCTTATGACCAATGACTCGAGGTCGAATTGGCTATGCTGCCTTCCACACCAATCTGAACTGTGGAACAGTTCCCCCCAAAGAGATCACTGGAAAAAGAAAAATATGTAGAAAATTTTCTATGATCTTTGTAACCCCCCCCCCTCCTCTTCCCCCGCTCTTCCGTTGTCAAGATGGCAGTTGCTATTATAAGCACTTATGCAGGCGCGACCACACCCCAATCTTCAATTTTCGACCGGCAACACCCCCGCTCTTGGAAGTTCCTTGCCAAAATTTTTCTCTGGATCCACACCTGCATGTTTCATATACTCTTAATATGTAGCAAATAGTTAAAACGTCAGGAGTAAATTGCTCGGACTTATATAAAACCAACTTGCGGCTTTTTTGCCAATGAAACTAGACGAATTTGATTCTCTCTTTCGTTCATATACGGGTATCTCACTTATACCCATCCTTCAATTAGACTACGGTACTTATAGCAAAATTATTTCTGTCAACAAGGGTAAGTTATTCGTGGGGTATGATGTTTGTGGCGTGTATGATGAAATTTCTATCAAGCGATGTTTCAATTGCAGTGGTTTCTCCCATTTTTCTGATCAATGTAAGAGCCAAGCTCACTGTCCTCAGTGTGGTGTCAGCCACTTACTGAAAAACTGCAAGGCCACAAATTTAAAATCCATTAACTGTGTTAGAAATAATGTAGACAAAAATACCAACTATGACATGTAACATGAGGCTTGGGGTTCTAGGTGCCCATGTTATTTACAAAAAGTTGAGGAGTGTAAAGCTAGGTTATTTTTTTCTTAGTTCGGATTTTCCCAGTGAAACCCCCTATGAACAGATAAATACTCAGAATTTTGTAACAGTTTCTACCTTTTCTGATCGTCGCATCTCTGTTTACTACCAGAACGTACGCGGTATGAACTCTAAGTGTAAAGAATTCTTTGTGAATGTCTGACTATAATATCATCTGTTGTACTGAAACTTGGCTGCAGGCTGCAGTACCTAGCTCTGAATTATTTACTGACAAACACGTTGTATTTAGAGCGGATGTTCACCATCCTCCGCTTGTCATGATAAATAATCAACATGAGCTTCCATTCTAAAAACAGTATCAAATGTACCAGAGAATCTTATAATTTCAGAAAAGCTAATTTTGTAGCACTATATGAACAAATAAGCTTGGTTAATTGGACGTTTCTTGACAATTTGACATATGTAAACGTAGCTTTGGAAAGATTTTATAACATTCTTCATAAAATTTTTAATATGTGTCCCTAGGACAAGTCTCAAATCTATCAAATTTTCAGTTTGGTTTAACAGAGAAATGATTAGAGACATTAAAAGAAAAAATTTACTACATAAAAAGTTTAAAAAAGAAAAAAGTTTGATCACATACACTGAGTTCAAAGACTTAAGGATCAAAATTAAGCGCGATGATCGCTTTTTTTTATATCGAAGCAGCCGCGCAGGCCTAAATGCCGGAACACCGCCACTGCTATGATGATCCCAAAGAAATTGTTGAACTGCCTAAGGTTAATAGAACTGGGAAAAGCTTCCTCTTGTAGAGAGCTCTGAGGAGCAAAGCCCGTTGGTGTAACGGTAGAAAAGAGCCGGATCGCCGACAGCCCGCCAGTGCGAAAGAGTCCCGAGACTGTCTCTTAGAGAAGAGTCATCGATCAGTCGGACCGCCCTCGTCTGGACAGCATAGAGCATAGATATAGTCGGGGCGGCAGAACCCCAAACGAGTGAGCAATACTCGAGGCTAGGCCTTATCTGGGCCTTGTATAGAGTGAGAAGGTCATGCGGAGAAAAGTACTTCTTAGCCCTAAACAAATAGCCTAGCTTTTTCCCAGCAGCTGCTGCTATTGACGAGATGTGTTCGTGCCAGATCAGATCCTCCGTGATCTGGACTGCGACCAGCCGAAATGAATGGCTCTTTGGCAGAATTCGAGCATCCATCGAAACCGGGTGAGCGCAGGGTCGCTTTTTGTTCGTCAAGGTACAGTACTGCGTTTTGGAAGCATTGAACTGTACAAGATTGTAGCGTCCCCAAGCAGTGATAGCCTCCAGGTCTCTTGTCATCGCTAGTCTTCTTTTTTCCAACTCAGCGGCAGAGATCCGCTTGTCACACTGAATTCCTGCATGTAGAGTGCTGTCATCAGCGAAGCTGTGGATTGGGTTGATCGTGCAGGAAAGGAGGTCGTTGATATGTAAGAGAAACAGTGCCGGAGCCAAGACCGATCCCTGGGGAACACCCGCGTTGACGTTGTGGGATGATGAGGAGAACCCGTCAATTACGACGGATATCTTGCGGCCAGAGATAAAGTCAGCCGCCCATCTGCAAAGCTTTTCTGGGAGGCCATAGGATGGAAGTTTGCTTAAGTGGGCAGCGTGCCACAGCTGATCGAACGTTTTCGTGATGTCAAGAGCAACGGCATGAGCCTCACCATAAGACTTGATGAGTTTACTCCACAATTGAGTGACGTAAGCTAGGAGGTCCCCTGTGGATCGTTGGTGCCGGAAACCATACTGCCTGTCGTTAATCAAGCCGTGACGTTCGAGGTAGTCCAGAAGCTTGCGACTTATGCACCTCTCCATCACCTTACTTAAAACAGAAGAGAGCTATAGGCCTGTCATTGTAAGGGTCGGTCTTAGATCCCTTTTTTGGGATGGGTTGGACATGAGCAAATTTCCGGTTTTCTGGGAAGGTGACGGATTCATAAGATATCTAGAAGAGATGCGAAAGAACTGGAGCAAGCTCCGGTGCACACCTCTTCAGTACAATGGCAGGAATCAAGTCCGGACCAGAAGCTTTGTTGATGTCGAGCAACAAGAGCACTCGTCTTACGGTCTTATGCCTGAATGTTACCTCCCGCATAGTGTAGGGAACCCTTTCAATTGACGGCACTTGGGCGTTGGGGGGGATGTCCATGGTGGAGTTGGCAGCAAAGATCTTGGCTAGCACTTCCGCCTTGGCCTTTGAGTTGAATACAATAGTTCCATCCTCACCCGTAAGTGGTGGAAGGCTACTGTGTGAGAAGTTCTTTTCAATCTGCTTGGCCAGCGTCCAGAAAGACCGACTACCATTGCGCTGCGCCATTACCCTGTGCCTAACTTTTATATCGTGCTGGTTTTTGGCATTGCGAACCGCTGCTTTATATTTGTTTCTGGACTCAACGTTGGCTTGTCTGTTCTCTACAGTGGGGTTGTGTAAGAAGGTTCTGTCGGACTTGATCTTCTGCTGGCGAGCAGCGTCACACGATTTGTTAAACCAGCCGTTGGACCCTGGTCTAGGCACTTTCACTGTGTGAGGGATGTATTCCTCCATTCCGACGTGGATAATTTCGGTTATCGAAGAACAGACAGCCGACGCATCCGCGTCAGTGAAAGAGACATCTTTCCAAGGAAAGCAAGAGAAGAAATCTCTGATCCCCTCCCAGTCGGCATGTCCGTAATGCCAAGTTTTGCGGCCTGTACGAGTTTCTGCTGCCACAGCGGGTTCTGACCGAAACCTAACCTACACAACACCGTGGTCTGAGTTACCCAGGGGGGACAGGACAGCAGTGCTGTAAGGGACAGGATGCGTGGTCAGAACGAGATCCAGCAGGCTACTGGCGTGTGACGAGTCGCGGGGGGAAAAAAGTAGGGCTCGTCACCAGCTGAGTCAGCACTTGGGTAAGAGCGAACGCACGACCTGCTGGGTCGGTCTTGTTTGAGCCCAACCAAAGCTCGTTATGGGCATTGAAATCACCGAGAAGAACTACCTCTGAAGCGGGATGATTGATGGTCAGGAAGTCGATCTGTACGGCGAGGTATTCGAGTAGGTCATCCCAGTTATGGTCCGAAGGGGAGCGATAAGGGCAGCAAATAGATTTGGGTGATGTTTTGGAGTTGAGGCGAAGCCACAGAATGTCCTTCCGGTCTGATTCCAAAGAAACATCTCTGGAGCAGGAAAGGCTGCTGCGGACAAAAGCCACAACTCCCCCTTTCTTTCTCAGATTGGAGTGCACCTCGTAGTTTGGGAAGTTAAGATGGTTAATCGGTGCAGACTCTGAGATTTTTGTCTCCGCCAAGAAAAGCACGGTGGGACGATTGGATTGCAGTTAGTGATGAACAGCATCAATGTTGCTGTTAATCCCGCAGATGTTCGTAAAACAAATTTTATCTTCGATGTTGTTCCCTCTAGCCCACCCTCCACCCGGACATTCCGAGAGTGGAGTGAGTTCACGTCCGGAGTTCTTAGTGCTCGAGGGATCCATCATCATTAATTTCTTTGTTTTGGAGGATAACCGACTGCATAGCTTAGGTTTGGAAACATGCGGACATTTATAAGACACCCTGGGAAAAGCTAGCGGGTGATACTGCCTCGGTCGACTAGTCCTTGTCAACCACCTTCTTTTTACGTGTTAGTGATGTTAAATAGACCTAAAGTGGCTCGTTGACGGACTTGTAGTGCCACCCGGCAATCGGTACTGAGGTATTCCTTAACGCATGGACAATCACTTGAACGGGAAGAAGTTGTATACTGGATACAACAACTTCCGGAACAAGCATTTGCCACGGCCCCACTCATTAGGGTCGGGAAGCGTAACGCATATCAAAAATATCTAGTAGATATCCAAAGTAGCTTATCTCAGGATCCTAACAAATTCTGGTCATTTATCTCTAATAAAAGGGGCAAAATTCCACAATCAGCCAAGTAAACTATAATGGTAAGCAGTATGACAAACCCATTGAAATTGCTACTGCTTTTGCGCTATTTTTTCAATCTGTATATACTATGCCCTTGAACGCAACAGATATCAATATTTCGGACTTGCATACCAACATAATACTTCCGGGCTGTTCCGAAGAAGTTTTTAAAGTGTTAAAGCAAATGAAAAATAAATTTACCTCCGGACTCGATGGAATCCCTTCATTTTTAGTGCGTGACGGTGCCTACGTCTTAGCTCATCCCTTGACAAAGATCTTCAACCTATGTTTAAAGACTCACACGTTTCCTGAAATTTGGTGTGAGTCAAAGGTGCGTCCCATTTTCAAGAAGGGTGATAGACAACAGGTTGAAAATTATAGACCGATAACCCTAGTATGTATCTTTTCCAAGGCCTTAGAAACTTTGCTTCATAATTTCCTATACCACAATATACATTCCCAAATAAGTACTTCTCAGCATGACTTTATGAAGGGTAGATCAACCATAACTAACCTAGCCTGTTTTACTGAGTCAGTCTCCTCTGCATTAGATGCTAATAGTCAGGTGGATGTAATTTATACAGATTTTGGTAAAGCATTTGACAAACTTGATCACAGTATTCTATTAACGAAGCTGAGCTATTTTGGATTCTCCCCCAAGCTGTTATTCTTTCTTAAGTCCCAACCTCAGGGATACCTCAAGGCTCCTGCTTTGCTTTTCATACTGTTCATAAACGATATTGTTAGCGACATCGACAGCAGCTACTTAATCTATGCTGATGATCTGAAAATTTTTTCCAATGTCGACTGCATCACTGACTGTGCTCGCTTACAAAAAGACCTAGCCAAAATAGTTAAATGGTGTACTGTAATTTGACTACAAAATTGGCAATCATTCTCTGCTGAGAGTAAAAGAATGCAAGGACCTGGGTGTGATTTTTGAGATGACACTTAGCTTCAATCCTTATATTGAGTACCTTATTATTAGGATTTGTAATACGTAACTCAAAGGAATTAAGTAACAAAGATGCGATGATTATGCTTTATAATTCATTCATACTGTCTAAATTAGAATATGGGCGGCTAATAAGGAATCCATGCTATGTTACAACTTGTGGCTCTCTGGAGAAGATTCAACGGAAAATTTCTGAAATTTCTTTCATTCAAAATTGACGGTACGTACCCACCTATTGGGGTCCCTCAGGATGACCTGTTAAGTAAGCACAAGTTTACCAGTCTCGATAATAGAAGAAAGATTCATTCGCTAATATTCCTGCATAAAGATGCACTACTTTAGCAGTTACGATTGTCCATCACTTCTAGCACAGATTAAATTTAATGCTCCAAAATTTGTTACTCGCAATACACTCACTTTTTACCTACCAACCCCACGAACTAACTTACTATTGCACTCACCTTTGCACTCGATGTGTTCATGTTATAATAGTCTACAGAGTACATTTGATTTGTTCAATACAAGTATTTCGAATATTAAGAGAGTATTTAGTTTTCGTTGTGTTTTTATATATTTTTTTTACTATTTCTATTGTAGTTTTGCCACCAGTAATTGGTTAACGCTGTTGGTGGTGGATTTTAATAAATAAATAAATAAATAAATAAATATACAATTTTACTGAATTGTGTTGATAACCGCCCTCTCAAAGGAAACGTAAACATATCATTAGTCAAAAAAAATTTATGTATCATCTCCTTCTAACTATTTGCTTCAGCTTTAATGGTATCAAATCATTATAATTATCATGGAAAATACATAACGGTCCAACTGGCTGATGTTTTAGTATAATATTTTCTACAGGTCTACACGATTTTAATCAAACGTCCCTATGGGCAAAATGTTCCAGTATTAATGGTTTCCGATTTTCAGGTTGCAACGGTTATCGAAATATTGATTCGCCTACCTATTTTTAGCCGCATTTTTTGAATTCCCATTCCCAACTTTCCTAAGAACATCTCAGAAAACCATGTCCGGAAAACCTTGACCTATCGAGATTTAGAAAGTACCGCGCTCCAATTTTGATGACATTAGCAAGGTTAATAATAAGCCAAGGACGAAGGGGCTAGCGGCAAAAACGAAAAAAAAAAACTCACTCAAATTCTTGATCATTTTAAAAAAAAAAAAAAATTGTGTTGAAAATTGAGTGTTGGGGGTTGTAAATGTTATATCTGTGGTAACAGTAAATGACGTTTTATTATTCAATGTGTTCTGTTCGACATCAGTATATATTATATTTACATCTGTGTCTCCAGCAACTACCACAACAGCCTGTAATATACGTCAAGTTTCTGGCTAATGGAACCAGTTTCTGTGTCAAAGATAAAATAAAATATAATAATATACGAGCCCTTCCCACTTCAGTTGGCCCACTTCAAGATTTGTACCAAAATATGCCTTTACAAACTAAACATGACGAAACTATTTACTTCTAAAACAATTTATTTTCTCAAAAACTATAACCTATAACTAATAGAACATCTGAACAAATAAACAATGTGCGAATAAATGCGCGAAGTTAACAAAGCAACAAGCAAGATAACCATTGGGTAACATCACCTTTATTTTTTATTACGGCTGAAATTCTTTGGGGCATAGTGTTAACCAAGTTTTGGCAAAAATTTGGTGTAAAACAATCCCATATTTCTTGAAGCTTTTGTCTCAGTTCGGTGATTGTACGAGCAGGACGTTGTCGTAGAAACTTTTTCATCTCGTGCCACAAAGTTTCAATAGGTGACAGATCTTGACTGCTAGAAACCCATTTCAAAAGTGGTCCATTATTTTCTTCCATCCATTTTATAGCCTTTTTTGAGGTATGGCACGCTGCACCATCTTGCTGAAACTCAAAATCTTGGCCGGATGTCAAACATTCTTCCATCACTGGTAAAAGCGATTCTTCTAAAATTGCCAAATATTTGTTTGTATCAACATTTCCATCAATCAAATGAAGTTTTCCTACTCCTTTTGATGACATACTGCCCCAGATCATAATGGGTGCTGGAAATTTCAATTTTCTCTTCAGACAGTCAACATGGAATGCTTCATTTTCTTTGCGAATAACTCTACTGCGACTGTCACCAACACAAACTTCGAATAGGGCCTCATCACTCCATTGTATTGCACACCATTGTTGAGGTGTCCATTGTCTATGTTATTTAGCCCATCTAAGCCGATTTTTCTTTTGCAGTGGAGTTAATAGTGGCTTTTCTTTGGCCTATAAACAAGTTGTGAAACTTTGGGGTTTTTACTTCTTTTTTTTATAAGAAAACTTACCATGCAAGTGCTAAATCCCAGTTTGTGGGCTTCTCTATGAGTTGTGGACCTCGAAATTCTCCTTCCTACAGCATCACTCCACAGAGCACTTAATTGTAAATAATTGGCACGCCTGTTTTTCACGATTATGCTTCTTAATGCTCTTCGGTCGGCATTTGTAATATTACTTTTTTTCACATATCGTGGCTTAATATTGACTGAACCAGTTACGTAATATCTTCTAGCAATATTCCTCACACTTTCACAGCCACCTATGCGTTATAGACTTATTTGCATTGAAATGAAAATAGTTTGATATGCTGTAATTGCAACATGTGTTATTTTGATGCTGCAAATTTGATTAGAGAGTGATAAAGTTGGTGTTTTCTACTATATATTACCAAAATATTCATTGTTTATATTTTAAACCTATAACACCCTGCTACATTTTTATTATTTGTGTTTGATAAGAAAAAAAGTAAGATTTCAATAGATGGGCCAACTGAAGTGGGAAGGGGCTCGTATAAGCATACTCTAATAAATGCAACTACCCAGGAATACGTGATATCGGTTATCTGCGGTTGGTCCAATCCGGAACCCCGGAGGTGCTTCATCGAGGTCGTCGACAACGCGGGACAAAGGAATGATATCAGGGCGATCAAAAGTTGTCCTGATATTATTTACTATGTGTAGTAGGAGCCTATGATTCAAAATAACCACATAAAAGAGGGACACACACACACATGTTTAGTTTTGATCCTTGCGAGGTCCTAAAGATAGCAGAACATACGAAGTTGATTGAGATAATATATATACCTCGTGCATATTGAAAGTTCATAGCTTGCATTTTTTTAAATCAACAATACCGTTTTTCACTGACATTCATTCTGCTCTACGAACTTATGTCAAGGTACAAAGATTTTTATAGCTGTCGAACGTGAAAGCTGATTTTAGCCCATATGCCACGGTCACATTTTTCATCATATTTCTTCGACGAGCAATTGGACAAGAAAACACTCGACGGGTTTCGCTGTTCCCTCTGCAGCGATAAAATTTTCTGTTACAAATCTTGGATACGAACATGCTCTCTTCCACCAACCCCAAAACAAACGCCATTATGGTCGTGTTATGCCACTATTTCTTTCATGAGTCTGTTGTCATGCCGTCTAGAAATCATCGTTCACTTCAGCTTTTATGGCTCTATGCCTAAACAGCGTTTTGTAGCTGACTCTGTTGAGAATAGAAATTGAGATGGGGTCGGGGACGAGTGGGAAAGGGATTAGGTTTTACTTCAATTGTGTATTTTGTAGTTAAACCTTAATCCTTCTCGTTAAACTGTCTTTTGAAACCTTTTCAGTTATAAGATCAAGAAAAATATCTGTGTTTGTGTTATGCCTTTTTGTTGACATAACGAGCTCTGATGCGCAGCTATCCTTTGTGATGCTGAGGGAAATTGGATGTAAAATAAATAAGATTTGATCGTGGGTTATGAGCGTTAGATACATCCTGGATAGTCAACGTCTGTTCATCCGGAATTATGTAGGACGTACAGAGTCAATCTGCTTGAGGTCATTTTCTTCTAAGAGAGGCTAAATTGTGCCGACCATAACTTTCATGAACTGATGACAACGTTGCTTGGAAAGTTCAGAGATAACCATTTTTTCAGATAAGTGAAACTACACACCTCTAGAGGTAGTACTGCCAAAAAGTACATAGTTATGTACTATCTGTTAATACAGTATGTAGACAAACTTTAACCATCAAATCCTTGGTGAATTTGAAGACGAAATTTCCATATGAACATGGGTCCGCAACGGCTTTGTTTTCAAGCTAGGGCATAGCATAAAGCGTGGAGGATTTAAGAGGCAGAATTGTCGAGTCATGTTTGACTATACAAAATACTCCGGGTCTTTTCAGCAGAGTTCGTCAGTCAATGTGTAGCAGACTAGATGCCTGTATTGAAGTCGAAGGTGGCCAATTTGAACATTTATTGTAAAAAAACTATTCGATATTTTTTATTGTTGTCGACCTATTCGAATGTTACTGTTCAAAACTATTGACCTTCTAAATAATTTTTTTTCCTAAAACACAGGATAATACTATTTTCATCCACGTTCATATTGAGCCTCAGTAACTTGTAAAACATGCAAAATTTATCCTAGGTTACACCAACTGTTCAATTAATACGTCTCATTATTCATAGAAATATTTGGAATATTACTCGTATTTCTTTAGTGATAGTGCTTTAGCTCGAAAAGAAAACGGTTACAGACCCAAGTTCATATGAACATTTAGTCTTCAAATTGACCAATTATTCGATGGTTAAAGTTTGTCTACATACTTTATTAACACCCTGTATACCAAGAAAAGACAGAGAAGGGGAATAAATTAGATGTATCCAGAATCATAGCTCCCATATAAGCTGATGCGATAAATCCGGTTTGCGAAATCATTTTTGGATGAATTCACTGGGTAGTAATGGTACTATTAGTGAAAGCATCTTTTGTGCAAATTTACTTTTGCTTGGACATGGTGGAGACATTTATCATCCGCTTGCAGGCTTCGAAATATATTTTTCATTCAATAAATGTATTGATGACTCTTTTGGGAGGAAAAATTATTCTTATAACCTCTAGGTAATTATATAGTTTTTCGCGGAATATTTCACCATTTAGTTTAGTAACAAAAAAGGAAAGTCAGGTCGAAATTAGAAGTTTTCTAACTTCAAATTGCTTTTGTCCAATCGCCGGTTTACGTATATGACACGGCTCTCAGTTATCTAGACAGCCTAGCTTTAAGACGATGTGTGTACTTATTTCGACTTTTTGACATACTCATCAAAAACCGTGGAAAAAACAACTTCATTCAGCCCAGCGTAAATGTAGCATTTTATGGACATTTTTTGGCAGTTTGGCAACCCCGACTTGGTACATCCAGAGCGGTCGCCTACTGATGATGTGACTAGTTTCTATTGAATCATATCAGTACGCGATGATGTAACTAGACATTTGCGATCGTTTATAACGCGCAACAGACTCTCAATGGGGCCGACCGGTGAATTATAAAAACATTCCACGAAGTAGCTTCTCTTGATGTAACTACTTTTTGGAACTACTCTGACTGTACTAACCGACCCGTCTGTTGGTAAGGACCTCATATCCATACGGCGAAGTCTATATGTGCAAAAGAGATTTTCGGCTGTGATCAGCAGCTTCGGGACGGTTTCAGCCGATTGAGACGTTGACACAGCATTGTACTGCGCCTGCATAATCTCGTAAGGAGGATGGGCTCATATTACCTTCCGAAGAGACCATATAAATCGCCATTAAAATATTCAAATGGATTTTTCGAGAGGCGGTATATTGGAACCGGCTTTTCCGAAGATGTTTCGATATTGCAGAGTGGCCGTTTTAGAGAATGTTATGGTTCACACGTCTTAATAATTTGTTTCTTCATGTGAGTCGGGATATTTGCAACTGATCGTCAAGAAGTGACTACTGAACACTGATTGACATCTTATATTGTATTGGACTAAATCCTCAGCTTCGCCCGCTTGGAAGTAGTGCAAGTCATTCGTTTTGGATTCGTGTAAAGCGGATTGGTTTCGATGAAAGAAATGCAATAACAGACACAGTTGGCAATGGAAACAAATATCAGTTGTATAATCACAAAGACTTTTATTTTAATTCTATTAGAGAAACTTTAAAAGTTTAAACTAATAACAAACATGAATAAAATACATAAGAGTAGGTACCAGTTGGTTGATTCTAGGTTCTTTTTTTGCCATCAGGTCGCTATCGACATCAAGACGATTTCGCTGTTTAGTTTTAATTAAAACTAGAGCAGAAAAGCCTGCCTCACATAAGTAAGTTGAAGAAAACGGAACTAGTATTCGTAAAGCAACAGAGGCAAGTGTCGAATTAACAGGCAATCTTTTGATCCAAAATTTCTCCAATGGAAGTCATCTTTCATGGACGAATCAGCCTTCATTTCTAGAAATTCTTCCTGAACTTCTTCTGGTAATTGCGACCCATCGACAACAGATGGATTTCTTGTCATGTTCCATATTGGTGACTCTGAATTGGTGTCTCGATAGTATCGGCGAAACTCGTTTTCCAGCGCTTGTAAATGAGTTTTTATGTCAGCTTTTTAATTTGCGTTCAGTATGTTATTTTTAATTACTTCGAACAGCCGAGAAAAAGATATAACATTTTCAGAGGACACTTTTTGATTCCAAAGTTGAAGCTTTGATATGAACCCCTGAATACAATCATAATTGATTATTATAGTGTTGTTTCTGTCTTGAAGTTTCATGTTTTATCTCATTCAAGGAGTCAAATATGTCAGTTAAATAAGCCATCCTCCATTGAAATGTGTCATCTTTGAACATTGTCAATAAATCGTGTTTTTCTTTGAACTCAAGAAAAAGAATTACCTCTTTTTTCAATTCATAAAGGCTAGCCAACATGTTGCTTTTGGACAGCCAGCGTACTTCTGTATGGAACAGAAGAACTTTGTGATCAGAATCGGGATCCTCGCAAAGTAAGGTAAATAATAATAATAATTATAATAATAATAAGTTTATTCACGTAGTATACAAATATAACTAAAACTAACATAGATGTACGTAAATAAACTGAATTTAGCCACAGAAGAATGTGCGTGGGTATTAACTATTAACATTTTTACATAAATATACATATACATATATAATATATATTCA